GTTTTGTTTTCAAGAAAAGGGAGAAATGTTGAAATATGTTTAAAGTAAGGCAGCATGTCTCATGGGCTATCCTTGTGGGGCTACCCTTGTGGTTCAGGAGCATATTCATTGACATAATTGGTTTGATCAGTAGTCTATTCAGTCCAGTGGTTTACCTCTGTCTGATAATAAATAATAAAAGTAATTACTGTTTCAGGAGTCTAACAAACCTGGTTACTTCAACTTAGCAGCATTATACATCACAGGAACGGACCTTCCTGACCTTGTAATCTCATTTAGTCATCATATGAGGTGTAGTTGCTTTTATTAATTTAAAGTAGAGAATAAGAATATTGAAATGCAATCTCTGAAGCCCTTGAAGTTAAACCTACATGTTAATGACATTTTGTTTCCTGTCCGACAATGCTGTGAGAATTGTAATATTGTCTATTCTAAATTTTCTCAAAGGAACTGGATTTCAAATAAACCTATTAATAAAAGAAGCATGAAAACAGAGTTAAACAAGAGTCATCATCCTATTAGTACTATATGTAGCCTAATAACAAGCAATGATTAAACATTTTGACCTTGAAAATCGCAGTAAGAAAGGGGAAAATATATTTAGTTCTTGTAATCTTTCTGATTTTCTTCAGTGGCATAGTTTTTACTTAGCTTGCATGAAGTAATGTTTATTGCAGGTATTTCTGAAGTGCCATAGTTTGTAATATTAATTCCATTAAGAACAGACAAAAAAAAATATATTAGTGAACCCACTTCACACTATGGTTTTAGAACAGGAGAGGCTTTTCAGTCAATTATTTATGTGCAATAAGTACTGAAAGACTTATTATCTCAGAATAATCAATGTTTGGCTGAAACTTGAGAACACTAATAGCTGATCTTAAAAGTCTTGATCCAGTGTCAATTGAAATAATGGCAGAACTCCTGTCAATTTTAAACAAAGGAGGCAGAGGCCAAGAAGTATTGCTTTGAGAGATAATTTTAGATAATCAGTTTAAAGCATCTGTAAAAGAATAGAAAATTTGACTTTCACTCTTTGCATAATACAGTATGAAGTATTTTAGCAGAGGGGACCTCCTAATGGTGTGTATCTATATTTTCTGTTGCTTTGGGGGGCCTTTTTTTACAGATAAAACTGTGTATATATATATATATGTACATATATGTGTGTATGTGTGTGTACACACACATATATATGCACTAAGCTAGTGTTACTGTCTCTGGGAATAAACTGATGGCAGCTAAAAAAATTAGGATCAAGCTGACAAGGAGTAGGGAGATTCTGTGGAATACTGAAATACCTGCATATCTCTTTATTTAACACTCAAGTTACTTCTTTTGTTCCTTGAATACCCGGCAAATATTTTCTCTTCAAGATATGCTGTCACTCATTCTAGTTGTTTGATCTCTTCAGCTGTCCTGATAATTTGGTTAAGTCAGTGTGGAGTGACTTGGGATATGTGGGATTTTCTCTCCTCCTAGGAATGTCAGGAAGATAGCATAATAAATGAAGGAAGTGACACCCAAAATGCAAAAGATAGTACCAGTGCTTCAGGATGCCTTCTGGTGCAGGGTCTGGTGCAGGCTCTCACTTGTGGGTGCTGTGTCAGCCTGTAGGGCAGGGCTGGACAAAGATATCAAGGAGGCATTTGAAGATTGCAAGGAAGAAGAAAGAGGAGTTTCTGGCATCTGCTGAGCATTCCGTTCTCTCAGATGGAGAACTGCTCTTTTCTGATTTTGCACAAATGATGAAGGGTGAATTTTGGCTGCATTTGGAGGAAGTTCTGAAATGTAATTTAATTATTATTGAAAAAAATATATCCTCCAAAGCTCAACCTGCTTGTCCATCCAAGCCAAAAATGCTATCAAAACTTCATTTTAAAGGTTTTTCCTTCTCATTTACTTGTCAGCAGGGATTGGGAAGACCATTAAAGAAGGCAGGGATGAGCACAGCAGTAATTAAAAACCAAAAGTTATGTGTGTGCTCTACAGTATTTTCTGCTGGGGTATGGTAAACCTTTATTTAGGTATTACCCTTAATAAAATAGGCAGATTCTGTTTAACAGTGCTAGTATGTAAACCCACTTGGAGGTGTGTTTCTGTTTATTGATAGAGGGGCCTTATTTTTTAATAGAAGCATTTGTTTTCTGAAGCAAGAGAGCCCTTCCCCAGTCTTTTACAGACAGTGCTGGGTGTCAGTGCTGAGTGGCAGAGTAGCAAAGCTTTTCTCTAGCAAGGAAGAGGCAGCATCAGGAGGCAGCGTGCAGATAAGCAGATATCGCTAAGTAGGGAAGTAGGACAGATACCCTGAGACAGCATCTGGCAGAGCAAGGCAGGAGGCGTGAGCTCTCCTTTCCAGAGACAGCCAGAGAAGGAGCTGTAGGGACCCAGCTTCTAGAAAGGAGCCAAAAGTTCTGCAACCTCATAATATTTAGGTTCTGAGCTCATGCTGATTTCTGCCCTAACAAGTGCTATATTTAGTGTCACGTATGTTCCTTAATGGAGTCCCAGCTCAATTTAGGAACACACTGGCCTCAAAGAAACTTGAAAATTTTAGCAATTTGTTGCATTTTTCTAATGCAGAATGGCAAAATACTGATCTTGGCAAAGCATATTCGATGGTCTAGTGTGGGGTACATATTTACCTCTATTTTCATCCGTATCCTTGTACAGGCCTTAAATCATGATATCAGTGTGGCAAAAATACTTGTGAGAGTATCGCTAAGTGATTTAATAAACTAGAGGGTGCCCTCTCCCCCTCCAAAACAGTGAGCCACTTTCTCTCATTTCTCATTCACTCACACATTAAGACAGATTTGACCAAGTATTTTTAGTTGGAGATTTGGAGCGGCTAAAGTAAGAAATCCTCTTAATAAATATAGGAGCTTTTTTTAAACTATCTTTTATGCCAGTGTAATTCCATTGACTTCACAAGATTTTTTCCTAATACATTCTCATAGGGAAAGAGTAGCAGGTTGTGGGTTTATATTTTTTTTTCACTGTGGGGATAACATTGTCACTGTGCTGGAATCCTTCTCATGAAAGAAATGTTTTGCATAGCTTTTGCTTTTTACTAGTAGAAGATTTGCTACAATTCATAGGAAAATATTAAATATACAATACAAAGTTTACTTATTTTCATTGTTATGAAAACAGTTTTCTGGCTTTTACAAGCCATCCTGGCTTTCCCAAAGGACTGCAAGCTGAGGTGAGTATGAAATGGGCAGGACAGAGGCACTCCATAAACTTCAGCAATTTTCATCAATTTGCTTTGAATGACAAGAAATATTAAGCGTCTGTGTTCCAGGGAAGCACTTCTCAATAAACTATGTTTACCAATAGCTCTCAGATTTCAGCTGTATGCTTTTGTTATTAAATGAAGCAAAAACTGTGGGGAGAGAGACTTTTAAAAAATTCACTTATCTTTTATTAGACCAGCACACATTTTTGAAAAAAAAAAAAACAGACAAACTTACAAACGGTGTAGAAATCCGTCTTCAGTTATGGAACAGGAGCCAATTTCAAGCCAAGCGTAGGCTAGGGACAATTGTTTTGAGTTTAACTTTGTTACAGTGATGAGTTGAACAAATAGAAGAGAAAAAGGTGTCTGACACCTCGAAGCAGATGAGGTTGTTAGTGAAGGCAGAGGTGATAAAGGTTGCGATAAATGTGTCTGAAATAGCAAATGGAGTCTGGGGGTGTTGCGGTTATTAAGAAGAGAGTCAGGGCAAGGGAGAAGAAAACCAAAGAGCAGAAATCTACTGAGGTACAATTCACCAAATCCAACTATACAATAAACTTGTTGTAAGAGAATGATTGTTTTGTGAATAAAAGCCTCATTTTCATAGGAACACAAGAAGCTCCAGGGGGTCTCTTTCAATATCCCATCTCCATCAGTGTGTGACACAGAGCAGGTCCTTAAAAGGTAATTTTAAGCCTTTGGGCATTTAAGAATTTTTTAAACTGTAAAACATTTGTAAATCTCTCCGGGTAGAACAGTGATCAGTCCAAGATAGCTACCCTGAGCTCTCAATGCTGAAAAATAGGCACACGGTAAAAGAGGCTTAATCTTGCACTGAAATAGATGTTTAGGGCTATTTCTCTGCACTGTCTGTAAGGACAATCCAGCGTGAGTAACCAGGGTTTAGGCACTTCACTTCTGCAGTGAGCTTTTACATCTGAAGTGAACCTCCCTCAACTCTCCACGACTTGGAAACACAGCAGGGTCTTGAGCACCGACCCAAGGCTGTTTGCATAGCCAGGGGCTGTTCCCAAAAGGGCCCCGAATGTTGGCCTCCCCTTTGGGAAGAGGAGGGGAAACATCCAATGGATTCAAGCCGGGCTGCACCGCTTGGCCAGAAGGCAGAGTAAGACCCGTCCTATTCAGCCAGCTCTACACAGACTCTGACACTTGAAATTGAGGACTTACAAGTCTCTAACCTGCACTCTGATGCAGTTTTCAGAAGTCCCTCCATTGCATTAACTTTATTCTAAAAACAAGGTAAGATCCTGCAAGAAATCTTACCTTTACAAAGGTGTTCCTTCTACATTTTTATGTTTATCCGTGCAGTAATTTTCTGGGCATTAAATTCAAATGGGGAATTTACAAACTAACATTTCTTCTAAATGTTTGTATCAATCACTGTTCCACTATTTTTTGTTCTCTGCTAAAACAATGACATTTCTATAGTAGTGTTTTATAATCTATTTTTAGTAATATTCCCCAGTTTAAAAAGAAGTGTTAGAAAACATTAATTTGTTCTTTTTTGAAAATGAGCTTCTGTTCCTTGAAAACTGTAGCAAAAAAATGGATGTTCAGTGTTTCTGTTCCCCCAGAAACTCATACGGCACTGACTTTGTGCTCTCAATCTGACCTTTTTTTCATTATATAAGAAAAAGATAATCCTTATGAAAGTCAGGTTGAAGATAAGATCAGCATGGTGGGCTGGTAATTACATAAAGTGATGTTCAGTCATTAGAGAAATTGTACAGTTGATCCAATGGCTTAGATGTGGGCGAGGAATATGATCTAGCTGTTACTGGTATAAAAGAAAGGTGCAACTTTTTCATACATCAGTTTTGGCAACTTACCACCAAGCATTGAGGACAGCTCATCTTCAAACACCATCCTGCAGTTTCTCTCATTTATTCTTGTTGAACAAGGGAGGTAATATATTTTTATTTTTTTATTACTGTTACAGAGGAATAATTGCACATGTTTTGACATCCTCTTTCCCTTCTTTTCCAGAAGTTTCCTCCTCCTACCATTCTGTCAAAATTTTTGCTTTGAACATTAACTTAAAAGTTACTTTGGGACTAAAACATCAATGCTTAGAGTTAAGCTTACTTTGTAAGTAAGAGAAAATGAGGCTCTAGAATTAGATTGCAGCTAAAAATTGATAATTTTTGATTTTGGATTGGGTTCCAAACTTCTTCATTAGTAACTTTGTGTTTTTCTCCTTCTCAATGGTGGCAACTGATGTCAAATATTAAACACTACACAACCTGTGGTATTAGAGCATCTTTTAGAGTCTTTAACAGAAAAAGACAAGATCTTGTAAATAATGAAGTGAGAATTAATCTGTTGGGAAAGATTTAAAATTGCCATTTTTCTAAAGAGCTCCTGAAATTCAGGCATTATGTATTGTTCCAGTAGCTCAAGAAAAATAATATTTAATAGAACAAAGTAGAAGCTTCCTTGGATTTGTCAGTGAGATGCAATGAGTGGTGAGAACATTAACTGGTTTAACAGCAGGGGCACAGTCAGAAAATTCAAGTAAGACCATCAGACACAACAGCTATTCCTCTGGAAAAGTAGAGAAGATCACATCTGTGGTTTATTTTCAGGTCTCTTTGGTGGTTTTGGTATGAGCCTGAAAATCTGACTCAATAGAGGAAGTGCAAAACTGCAATTTCAATTCCCCTTTTGGTTAATATAATGTAAAACACCTTCCCTCTGGGATTCCCTTGAGCCATTACAATGTACCAAATTGTAGCATTATATCTTCTTGGAAAAATTAGGGTGAAGGATGCCACAGTGCCTTCAGCAAAAGACATGAAAAACAGGATAATCTGTGTAGTGTTATTCCTGTGGCTGGCTTCTTTTATTGGAGCTTTTGAAGCATTTAGGATATCAAAAGGCTCAGGATGATGTAGCAACAGATCATTTAGAAAAGTCTGTCTTCTGCTGGTGCATGAGGCCCTCCAGCTGACTTTTTGCACTCTGGAGAATGTTCCCTTGGGTGGAGCAGGGCTTAACCTTAAACTGTGGAATTGTGTTCAGGTACAAGTAAGTCTGCCAGCAGTCACACCCCTCTAAGGGATTGGAAAGAGGATATACAGAAAACAACCTTATAAAAAGTGCTTTATCTTCTGGAGGGAGAGGTCCAGCCAATCCACTCTGCTGGCTCCATAGATGCTGTTGAGTACAATTCAGTTCCCAAAATGTTTGGCAGGACAATAAGAGGTTGTGGATCTAAACAGTGTGAAGGACTGCCTTTCTCCTGCAGACACAGCTGACTCTTGTTGAAGGAACAGGTCACAGAGGGCTGGCAGCTGCTCCTCAGGAACATGACAGCCATGTTCAATGCTTCCAAAGCTTTCAGGAAAAGTCCAAGTGGAGAAGGAAAACCACAGGTTTCACGGAGCCTGTATGCAAACCTACATGCATACACTGAACTTTTGGATATCTCTTCTAAATGCTTATTTCTAGTGCTTCCAAAACTGTTGCCAATGTTTTCTCCTCCTGATTGTTATTGGCTGATTTTAATTCCTTTATCTGCTGTTTTCTGCCAGCATGAACTGACTCACTGGGCAGGTGGGAGGGAGGAGGTGAAGTTATTTGTACCCAGCACCCAGCCTTGATGCCTGGTGACTACCACGTCAGCCTCTTAGCCGTTCTGCTTAGCTCGGCACCAGATCATTCTCTTTCCTCTCATTTTTTTTTTTTTCTATCTTATTAGGAAGATGCTTGTTTCCACTGCCTTCATTCATTGCCCTGGAAAGCACTGCATATCAGTTTTGCTCATAAACTTCGTTTCTTTACACTTTAGTAACCCCTGTCAGGCAGGAGCCATGTTCTTTTCATGCTGACTTTGGTCTCAGCCTTCAAAAACATGTGTATTTGTATTTCTAGACAGATCATGGATTGCTATGGGAAGTATGCAGCTGTGACATTGACCATTTTGTCTGTATTTCTACATCTTCTTCATACTTTCCCAGATGGAGAGTTTCTCATGCAGGGTAAGCTGCTTTCAGCATTCAGAAATAGAACAGTTATAAAGAGTATTAATTAAATTTTCACATTTTATAAATGTGGTCATAAATTTTATTATTCAGTTGCATTTATTGACAATGAGGGTATAATAAATCAAGATAATTTCACTATGAGCATGCTTCCTATTTCTTCCTTAAATTTAATTTCTCCAGGTCAACGATGTCCTAGATGACCATGTCCTCAAGTTGATATGGGTAAACTTAATCTTTGAAACACTATTGAATAGAAATGTTTGGCTTCTTGTACTCCTGTGAACTAAATTACAATGTAACATTAGGAACAGCAGAACCACAGCTTTTCCTCATAATATGCAGAATATTTTTCTTACGTAGATCCCAGAATATGGGATGCTGGTGGTGTAGCATTCTATGAAAGACATATATTAGATTTTAAGGGTACTTTGGAGGTTGCAGGGTTTTTTATTTAGCCTTAAATAAAATATAAAAAAATGTGATGTACAAAAATCTTGGTACCACTGAACATTTAAAAAGTGCTCTATAACAAAATCTTGACTAAAACTGGGCAATTTTTAAGAAGCACTACAAATCCTGCTGGTGCTTTTAAATCTCAACAGCTAGTAGGAAGTTTTCTGGGGATAGCTAGTGCTGTAGATAGAAACAAACCTTCACAAGTATCAGCTAAATTGAAAAGAAAACCAGAAAAGATCCAGTAGACCATGCTTGTGGTTTACCTAGAAAGCCACAGCCTAGTTTTACAGCTGGTGCATGTTGCAGAGTTGAAAAAACCTGAAGAGGAGAGCTTTGGTGTTGTGCTTTTCTGTTCTGCAGACATCAAGCAACAAAACGTGGCTTGTGCTTCCTCTTATGGCCTGCACTTTCCCTTTCTTTTTGAAAATGAAAATACATCTGGAAACCAAGTAAAATTCTCTTACTTATATTTTTATGGCAGGTTGTCCAGAGTGCAAGCTAGGGGAGAACAGATTCTTTTCCAAGCCAGGAGCACCCATTTACCAGTGCACTGGGTGCTGTTTCTCCCGTGCCTATCCCACTCCAATGAGGTCCAAGAAGACCATGCTTGTTCCAAAGAACATTACATCAGAAGCAACATGCTGTGTAGCAAAGGCTTTTACCAAGGTGAGGGTGAGAATGAGGTCTGCTTTAGCTTCTTTTAGAATGCAATATTAAGGTGAAGCACTGAATAGTAAAGAATATGGTTTTGCTGGAGGACACTGGAGAGCAGTTTGAAGAATCCTTGGCATTTATGTCCTTTATGCCTTGGTTCTTTCTTTTTTATAAAGAAGAAATTAAATCATCAACCAGTAATGTGTCTGAAGTTCAGCTGGGATGAGGAAATTGGTGCAGTGCCACTGAATTCTGTGAAACTGCTTTGTCTCATGACACCTGCAGCTCTGGTGGTGGACTTGTCCCAGTATTTTCAGCTCTCCTGGATGTGCACCCTCCCCTTAAATGCTACACAGTGTCTATGTGATTTTAATAAGTCAATTGCCTTGTGTCTTTCCTGCATAGAAAGGAGTTCTCTGGGAAGGTGCCTGGTCAATACTATCAATTACATGTATGGGAATGAGGGACCAAAGCCATCTGTGCTCATTAGATTAATTGAGATGGTGTTTTACTTTTTCATAATATAACCAAGAGGGAACTGTAAATGTGTGCAAGTACTGTGAGCATTTAACATTCACCTGGAAGGATCTTTTAAAATTTCTTCTAACTCTGATTATTTTGGGAGTGTTTCTGCTCCAAGTGAAGAAACCTTACATTTTATGTAATAAATGGTGAGCTGATTGAAACAAGCCAAGGTGTCTATCCTGTGGTGACCTGAATCAGGCTAGAGGTTCAGCTCAGTTACCCACTCACAGACTCGGTGCATTTGAAATACCTTAGAGTACTGAAGTCATATGGGTATGGCTGGCAGACACAGAACCCATGAAAGTGTTTCTAGAGTGACAGCTGGAGGCTTGGTGAGATCCCCTCTGACCCCTCAAATGACGATGGACAGCTCAGTGGGTGCAGCTGAGGAGAGCACTGGGTCTCCACTGGTTGTGATGAGAGCCAGACACTTGACTTTAAACTCTGCTGAACCAATCCTGGCTCTTCACCTGAGGAGAACATAAATCTTATTCTACACTGACAATGCTATACGTGCCCTGAGGCAGCAGCTAGAATTTGGTTGAGATTAAGTATAAAGGTGACTCTTGTGTTTGTTGCCTTTGTTTTTGTAATTCCCATGTGATGTATTTTAAGGACACTTTCTGATTTTCCATAGATTGGTGACTAGACCCTTTTGGAAAATGAGACACTTTAAGGAATGTCCAAGTTAAAGAGTAGCATATTGTGTCACTGTGCATGTCACTACTGAAAACTTTCACATTACAGTTCCAAAAACAGTGATGATGCAGCTTCATAGGTTGATGTTCAGGTCGTTCTAATACATGTACCCCAAAGGGCCTGTGTATTTTTAGTTAAGAAGAAGTTTTCAGAGATATTTTACTTGACAATACTGTTTTTACTGCTTAGCTGATCCTAATTGTTTGTTTTATGTGTGTGTTTTCTCTTTTTAAGATTACCCTTAAGGACAATGTGAAGATAGAGAACCATACGGATTGTCACTGCAGTACCTGCTACTACCATAAATCCTAAAGCTTGTCCCTTTGTTAATGGTCAAGGACAACAGGACAACAGTGAATGGAACATTTGTTTTCAGCTTTTACAGCACCACAGTGTAAAACCTTATGTTTTCTGGTAAAGACTCTGGGTAGACCTCTGAATAAGATAGATGGCTATTTTATTTCCTCCTTGCTTCTTCATGCATTTAAGTAAGTGTAATTATTTCCATTAGGGATAAAATACAGCACTTGCATGACCAAATGCTTGATCTATTTTTAAAATAAACTGTCACTTAAATCATCAATGTTTTTTGAGGAAAATGGTGATTTATTAGCTTAACAGACAAAAATAGATTCTGATGCAATTCAAATTTCTAGATTTCTAGATTTTTTTTAATGGGAGAGAGAGGGAAAAGGGAAGACAAGGATGGGAAACTGAGCAGAAGAATTATTTTCCCCTTATTCACTTAATGATTAAATTTTTTGAAGTTGCAATATATTGTTCCTCCTGCTTTTCTTCCATATTTATTTTACCTAATGGACAGAAAGTATAATAGTATAGTATAATATAATCTATGCACGGTACTTTGTCTTTCTGTGCCATCTTTTATATTTCTCTGAGTTTAATCTCCTCCTGTATAGATAGGCAAATGATGCAAAATCAAACAGTATAAAGAATTTTTGTACATTTTCATGTAGCAATGGTGGAATAGAGTAGTCATACAAGAGTATTAGCTGTTTAAGCTGCTTACCTTTTGCTTGTCTTCATCAAGGCATAGAGCTTTAGTAATTCCCAAATGCCTTGTGCTAGACCCAGGTATACAAATGGAAAAGGTAGGGAATGTGTTAGGTGAGAAGAGGACCACAGAATACGTACTCATTACACCTGACATTAGTATAAAAAACTTGTTTATTTGTAGTAGGTTGCATCGGGGGGCTCTGGAGGAGCTGCTCTCAGGTCTGAAGCCTGCCCATGGGAACTGAAGTGAATGAATTTCTTTGCTCTTCATCCTAATTTCTGGGGTGAGAGCATCATCCTTGCTTTGGTCACTGGCTGCAAGAGTTTAGATGTGGCGACCCAAAAAGCCTCAGATGTATTTGTGGGGGATTTCTCTGCAGTTGTAGCTGTGAGGACGGCAGTAAGAGATTCCAGTGGTGTCAGGGAGGATTTCCTGAGTGGCGCTGCGAAGGTGGCTGCTCTGTCCCGGGCCACAGCCGTGCCTGATACCTGTGCCGAAGCCAAATGACTGAAGCCGTTTTAATCGGACCCCCTGGGCTAAGCTGTGACGGGGAACTTGAGGAGCTGAAGATCCGCTTCTAATGATCGTTTAAGCCCATCAATCACCCCCCTTCTGTCTACTGGAGTGCAAATTCAGTGCTATTTGCTAAGAATACAATCGCGGGGCTTTGTGGAGAAGAAAAGGCTTTTCGTTTGTAGAGGAGATGAGGTGCTTAGAGAAGCGTTTTTCAGGGTATGTTCAATAAACCTTACCAAGCTGATCTCCACGCCTTAACCCCTGAACCCTCCCTTATGTCCAGCTTCACCGTGCCATTCCTGGGACATGTTTTGCCTGACTTGCTTTGAAAAAAACCGATTTTATGAAGGAGACTGATCAAGTTGCTTCACTGTTCTTATTATTCTGGAAAATTTTCTGGAAAGCTTTCCCCTTAGTGTTTATCAAAGTCTCAGTTGTTTCCACGTTACTTTTGGTCAGAGGAGAGAAAGTTCAGTAGGGTAGTCTTTAGGATTAGTTTAGTAACACCAGCAGCACAGGTTTTCAGGATAAGGAGTCTAATTTGTCATTCTGGATCATCACTCGAACATTGCGGAAATACATGTCAAGCAGCTGCTGCAGCTGACTCACAATTCCAAGCTGCTGTACAATTTTATTAAACGTGATTGATGTGGCTACTTTTGCAGGAAAGCCAGGTCCTACCTGGATTCCTGGGCAACGAGAAAGGAGTGATTTGAAGCTGCAGCATGATTACCTTTGGGAATGGTATTGTATTTGCTCATAACTGACAGGACTGAGAAGGAGAGCAGGGAAACATGTTCCCTGAAGTTTGCTTGCAGGAGTGATATGCCTTTTTGTGTTGCCGACCTTCCTGGATGACATCTTACTCAATCAACTCCTCAGGCAGAATCCAACACTTGCTTGCCTACCTATGCTTGTGCTGCCCACAGTAGCCACACAATAAATTTTTGTTTGCAACTTCTGAATCAACTTCCGTATTTCGGGTTGTAAAACCATAGAAATACCAATTAGAGTGAAATCCATGCTTTATATTAATAAAAAAAAAAAAAAGAGAAAAAAAAAAGATAGAGAGAGAGAGAGAGAGAGAGATGCTCTAGCCCTGTGTCCTGCTAGGATGCCTGGCGTTTCTTCAGGTGCTTTTCTTTAGTTATGAACTCCTCAACTCACGGATCCCTCTCCCCCTCAGGCGACCTCGGGCACCAAGAGCTTGCAGAGTGTGTATTGGAGGCTGTGTGGAATGGGGAAGCGCCGGCCTCTTTAAGTTCCCCGGCTCTAACTTTTTGGGTTCAGGAGTAGCAGCACAGAACAATGAAAGGGATGGAATAAGCACGCAGATACACAAACTTATCAGCAGGGGGTAAGGGAAACAAGGAGACAGACCAGACCCCTTCAGCCCCCGGCTGATGGGCCATTAGGGATGGCACTGGGGCAGTGCGGGGCATCCTGGGCTTCCTAAGCAGTGGGAAGGGGGAATGAGCCTCCTGTCGGCTCCGTGGGTGCTTGGGGACTGGGCAAAACTTTGTATCCCGTGTGTGAGTGCTGCAAGGCTTAAGTGAACAGGAGAAGGAACCCACAGTTCTTGGTGACAGCAACTAGCAAGGCCAATATGCCAGCAGGATAAGGTCGGGGCAGATTTTACCAAGCTCTAGAACTCCCTAAACAGATACTGTAGCCAGGTGAGGCTCTGTCTCTTCCCCTTTCCCCTTTCCGTAACAGGTGACAGGGCAGGAGGTGTGGCCTCAAGTTGCAGCAGGGGATGTTTGGACTGAATACTAGCAAACATTTTTCCACAGAGAAAGCTTAAGCACTGGAACAGGCTGTACAGGGAGTGGAGTCACCAAACCGGGAGGTGTTGGAAAAACGTGTAAATGTGGCACTTAGGGATATGATTAAGTAAGGGACTTGGCAGGGCTGAGTTAATGGTTAGACTAGATGATCTTAAAGATCTATTCCATGTGAAATGATTCTATCATCCTAAAAGAGAACACTCATCATCTGGGATGGAATTATTTTCCTCTAGACATCAGGGTTGTCCCAATTGGAGGGTCAGTGGGTAGGTCAAATTGTCAGCAATTGAAGGGACCAAGGTGTATATTTATGTGGGAGAGGTTTAAATATTAGCACATGTAAATGAAAAAAAAAAAAAAATTTTCCCCTAGTTAATTTAATCCTGTATGGACATGTACATGTAATTGTATGAAAATTTTAAGCTGGACTAATTGATGAGCAGGAGCAAGCCTGAACCTGGGAGGATTCAAGATCTGAGGTCATGCTGAATAAAGGGACACAGGATCTGGGCCTGAGTGGACAGAGAAGCTGTGCTAAATTCAAGGAATCCATGACTGTGGAGAGGCTTGTGAGATGAATGTGTGGTCCACACATTTTATTGCTAGCAAACTTCAAGCTGGACTGTCTGGAGAGTAGGAGGAGACCCACTTGGTCTAGGCTGGGGAGCCCAGGCAAGCTGAGCTGATATTCAAGGAACTGTGAATGTGACTGCACTCATGAATCTCAAAAGTGAGGACACATGTTTTCATAGAGGATTTCAGTCCTCATCAGCTGGAAGGGAGGAGGGTGAGGGTTGTTTGTGTTTATGTGAGTGTGGTTGAAGGCAGTGGTCTGCTGGGTAATCTCTGCAGTTTCCTTGGTGCCTCTCTGGGACAAATGCTCGTCTTTTCTGTTGGACAAACCCGCACACAAGGACAGGAGCTGTGTCCAACAGACTGGGATGGAGAGTCCCTGTGTGCCCACAGTTGGGCTGCACCAGTGAGCCCAGAGAAATCCCTGAGTCCTGAAGTCTACAGGATTCAGCAGCCAAACTTTACATCTTTGGCATATATTATTTGAATACATTTTCTTAGGTCATTGTCAGAATGAGGTCAGAATGTGTTTCTTTACATTTGAAAGTAAGAGCAAAAATCCAGGCCATGGTTGAAAGAGTGACAATGGTAGATCAGTGGGCCCACTTACAGTCAGGACTAGGAAAAACAATGCTACATATTATAAGGAAGTTAATACAGCGGACCATAATAAAGAATAAATGGGATATGAATAGGAGTGCTGGAAGACTAGATTTATATTTGTAGGGATTAAATACCATATTTGCAGTAAAAAAAGAAAAACAGAAAAACCAGCACAATACAATTTCATTGCATTATAAAATGGCTGAAATAGAGGCTCAGTTGGTCATATATATTCAAGAGGGCACAGACAAACAATGTCATAAAATCAGAAGAGAAACTAATCCCTTGTTTATGTAGATAGCCAATGTACATCTTCTACATTTTAGGAACAGGGTATTCGTGCATGGAGATAAAATGAAGTCTTTGTCAGTGTGGTTTATAAGTAACAATGAATCAGTCAGACTGATACTGTGGATTAAAAATGCTGAAGATCAAGCAGACTGAAGATAAAAATGATATATTTTTGCTGTCACAGTGACCTCTATAAACTTACATCACCACAGTCCTAATAACAAATTCATTCTGTGAGCAAAGGGGCTAGTGAAGCTTCATTTCCTGACTATCTGTGCCACGTCTCATTGAAAATCCATTTTGCCATGTCCTCAGCAAACCCCTCTTCCACCTGGAGGTCCTGTCAGGTGCCTTCCCGAGCTGCTGCAGAGCCATCAGCCAGAGCCAGGGCTGCTGTTTGTCCATCCAGCATGTTTTCTTAGGGGTGCTATCAACTTCTTTTTGGCCAGATCCCAATTTTTATATTTTACCACTAGTAGGTGTTTATTTTCACAGACCTGCTAAGACCTGCCAAGAGCTGAGGTCATTACCCTTTATCCAAAAATACTCATAACTGACCAGAGGGTTAAACATTTGCTGAGGAGCAGCTGTTGGACACCTGGGTGGACAGACAGACACTATGAGGACCTCACTGCTTCCAGGTGCCAGGCTGACAAGGCTTTCCATTTCCAGTCCACAGCAGGTGAGAGCTGGAAGGGCATCTGCTTTGCGGAAAGATAAAGCTCTCAAGCTGTAGGGATTTTAATGAATTGACATTTCAGACCAGACCTCTTACTCCTAGCAAGCCTGATAAGTTCCAAGTGAGAAGTCCTTTTCCCTTCCTTTAACACTGCCTGAACAATGTTTTTTAATAGTGG